AGCACTTACACACCCTTGGACACACAACACAGAGTCGGGACTGAAATGGCATTTCTGGTGCAAACACTATATGTCCCAGTGCACATGGGGTCACTTTCCCGGGTCCTTCACAGAGCCCCACCTGCACCTCACTGGTGGCTGCTGCCTTTCTCGAGCTTTTGGCCCTGCTGGTGAGCTTGGTAGGGTTTTTATCCGTCTTTGAGGTAAATATCCTGTCTTATTCATCTTCCTGGCCATTTTAAAGAAACATTTAAATATAAGGAATGCTTTAATTGTTACATCAAGTCTGCCAGGAAATCAATTTGGCAGCAAATTACCAGTAGTTTGTGTTGGTGGGTGTTTTTATAATGATAAAATTGTATTTCTTTGAAACTCTTCCATTATCTAAAAGTTTTGAAATTCAAGTGGAAGGAGCACTCTCTAATTACTCCCAATTAGTAACGTTTAGCTACATGCATGTACTGTCAACAACTGCATTGCCATATGGCAATAAATGCTGTGGGCTTTCCGCTGTTCCCTTATCATTAGATTTTGTTATACGGAATCCCATTTTGTACCTCTTTGTCCGTTTTATGGCCGGGAAGAAAAGACCTGATTGTAGGTAGTTTTATTCCGAAGAATAACAGTCCTTGGAACTCAGCGGGGAGAAGCGAGTGATGTCATGAACATTTCATTCTCCACCCTCCTCCTCTAAGTCAGCGAGCTTTCTTTGTTTACTCCTTGATTGATAGAGTTTGACATAGTTACATTAGAATTTAGATGGGTGTTTTGGCTCAAGTTATTTGATGTATAAAGCAAATGTTTTATTATTTATTAGCTGCCTGCTTCTAGAAAATAAAATGGGGCAGCATACAATAAAAGAATGAGGCAAAATAAGACTTAAAGTCACAGCAGGAGTTCACTAATGTCCAGCAAGTCCAGCTAGACTATTGCTCACGATGGTGATTTAAATAGCAGGGAACTAACCCTCTGACAGGTAACCTTGCTTAAAGGAGTCAGAAGTGGAAAGAACTAGTAGATATAGTTTTTTTTTTTTGGGGGGGGGGGCGGGAGGGAACCCAGGAGTGGAGCAAAATCAAGTCAGAAAAAAAAAGAACAGGAACAATTACAAATTGCAAAAATGGAATTGAGTACATATGATAATCAATGGGTCCAGAGATGAGTAGGTATGAATAGAAGTCAGGACAAAAGGTGAGAGAAGGAGTCTCTAGACCACTATCAGGCAGGAAGCTGAGGGACTCCCTGTGCTTATACTACATTCTGATTCATGGTGGGTGATGAGATTGTTTGGCCTAACAGCTTAAGTCAGCAAGCACCGCAAGAGGGGGTACATTGATAGAAAGGAAAGACTATGTGAAGCTACTGCCACTGAAGACAAGATTTGAATTTATCTGTGAGTTCCTCGTGGTCAAGAAGAAGAAGGAAGTATGATAGATTCCAGAGAAGACCAAATTTTTGGAAGACAAAAAACAGGATTGAATTTTGGAGAAATCTAGCTTGATGTGTTTATCAGGAAGAGGAGAGACAACTACAAAATAATTATTTCTATACTCCTGACTCAATAAACCACCATTCAGACGTTCTCTCCCATTCTATAAGGCAAAGAAGTAAACTATAGCTCATAAAGGGTGGCTGTTAATGGCTGAGGAGAGCAAATGATCTTGTTGCAGGAGAGTTTCACAGAGAAGTCTTACAACGAAGTCGTTAAAGTGATGTTGTAATTAGCCATAGTTAGCACAGGTATGAATGCCTTGTGTGTGTGCCAGCACTGTCCACGCCAGTTCTCCGGCAGGGGAGTGAAAACACTGCCTGCTGTCCATTTACAAAAGGGACCGAGTGCCCGACTGTGAACTGGAGAGATGAGGTGGACAGATACATGCATTTCATGCAAGATAACCGAGGGAAGGAGCCGGGCTGAGAACTAATGGCATAAAATATCCAGATTGTTTTCAACAAATTCTCTTTGGACGAAGGGTAAGAACCCCCTTAGAAATGAGTTGCCCTAAAGAGGCAGCCACTTTGATACCTTTACACCTTCATCTGGGAAAGGCAGCGGTGGCATTTAGGTGCCTGGATCTGACGGCCATTTCATCTAAGAGGACACATGTCTAAGTGTAGGTGACACATTATCTCTGGAAGAATGTCAAAGGAGCTGCAGTTCTGGAGGAGTGAGTGGGAGTTCGCTGTTGTAATGATTATTCTTACTCTGTTTCTCCCCCCAGAATTACTTACCTGTGATTCATTTGTTACAGGCATTGTGTTTTTTCCTGAAACCACTGGTTTCATGGCATTTTATCTTCATAAAACATGCCAAAGGGTGCACAAGCCCCTACACGCGTTATGACACTCGGTCTCCCCAGTAATTTTAGGGAGAAAGCATTATTATCCCCTTTCACAGATGAGCACCTCAAATGCGCAGATGTGGAATCTCTCCATCCTGCCTCACACTTAACGCAGCACAGCGGCAATTCAAGCTCACGCCTTTGTTTTGAGTTATTTCTAACGGACTTCTCTTACTCTCCCAGACATGTATTTATATTCAGGACAGACCAAAACATAACGTTTGGCTTACCCGGAACCATTTATCTTCATCTCTTGGCATCGTGATTATATAGCATTTATAAACTCCCTGTCCAGTCAGGCAAATACGTTCACTTCTTGGCTTTGATTTAGTGCACTGGGTCCCACTATCAAAGTTACTAGCCTTGCAAATTGTCATAATCTGGGTCTAGATTTCCAGGCTTTTGCTTCTAAATCACTTGGCAGAGCACAGAGTTGATACAAGAAAAAGAAATCACTGGTAGGAAGGGCTGAGTTAGCAGCACACAGCAATAGGAAATGAAGTGGCTTGATTTTAATGTGAGTTGCGAACAAAGGCTGCTATAGAGCAAACAGGGTTGAGCTGGGACCTAACTGATTGTAATAAGTATCCTTTAGGAAAATACCAAATATTGTAATGACTGTTGTATAAAAGTTGAAAAATGTTGAGACAGTGTAACTTTCTTTTTTGGCAAAGTAATGCTTAGGAAGAAAATACTTTAAACTGTAATTTTAGTTCTCGAAAACATATGACTACAAAGTATAATAAAGTCTTTGAATCTCCCAAATTTTTTATAGGCAGAATCTAATTTAAACTATAAAAACATTTTTGATCAGAGGAATAATCTGTGGTTTTATTTTTGTTTTCCATATGCTCAGGGTACATTTGGTAAGACTGTGTTTTATACGCAGACGTTTCCCCATAACTCAGCCTGGATGCAGTGCCTGGGGATGGGTGTGCGCACTGCATAGTCTTCGCCCAGGAGTAGTCTCCCTCCTGAGACCTCTGAGTCCCTGAGAATTTCAACGCACATTTTGTCCCCCTGAGGTCTGTTTCCCCAGGTCAAGTCATGTTTGATTTATAGTGAGAGAAGTTTTTACCTGGACCTTGGAAATCGGTGAAGGTGAAATAGACTTTGTCATGTTTAGAGCTTTCATTCCTTTATTTTCCAAAGACACATCTGTAGTATAGAGAGGAAAACACACACAAATAAAACACTCCTTTGGCACTTTTAGTTTATACACATGTCTATGCTTTCTGTGAGTCTCAGGCTTCAATACCCAACTGCCTACTATATTACTCCACAGGCCTTTCCAAGTCAATGTACCCCAAACCAAGGGCATGAGCTGCACAAATGTGGTTCTCCTCCATTATCCAGTTTCTCGGGGCTGGCGTCATCATACACCCAGACAGCCCGACCAGAGACGCAGGGATCATCCTTGACACTTTCCTCTCCTCTCTGCTTCATAGCAATTTATTGTCCTTGGGACATGGTGGGGAGCCAATAGAGGGTTAAGCCTCGGACTGACCTATTAGCAAAATCACAAACAAGTCTTCTTCTGAGTCTTAAACAACCCAATCTGAGAGGTGGCCGCTGATTTACACGTGCTGTCATTTAAAAAATAAAAATGGGGGAATTTGCCGGAAACTGGTCCACCCTTGCTGCGTGACACAGTCGCTGCAGGGAAGAAACATCTGCACAGCTTATGTTTCAAGGGACCTGGTGTATATGGCATATGTTTGCTCCACCTCTTAGCGCTATGAGTTTTAAATAGGACCACCTCCCCGAGAAAGGTTGTTTCCCCAGGTGAGGATTTTTCCCTGGAGTTAGGGATTAACAGGACTAAGACTGTAGGCAATAAATTTAGGACCATCCCCAGGTCTGCCCACCAGGGAAAGCACCAAAGCCTATACCCCTGGAGACCCACCGACACAGGGCAGTCCCAGGGAAGGCAAGCAGTGAGGCTGGGAGGACATAACCTTTACTGGGTAGGATAATCTCCTTCAGTCACTTCCTTATAGCTTATCAGTAGAGCAGTGACCTTGGAATAGCCCTTGTAATGGAACACAGAGATTAACCTAAACAGGATTAAACTCAACAGAACTAGATTAACAAACGCCCTAACCTTTGGAATAGAATGGATAAGATTAAAATCAATTGGTATAAATACAGATGTAACTGGACAATAAAGAACCGAACCTGGCTAGAGAACTTGGCTAGGCTGCTGATCAACTGAACTCTGTATCTGTGTCATTCCTTCTTCACCGACTCCATCCACACCTTTGGGAACCCCTCGACCTGCTCAGGTTGGACCCCAACAGGACATAATTTATCCTTGAACTAGAAAAATCTCCTTTTATGTGGCAGGGGAAGAGGGATCGAGGCTTGGAAAGACACTTGATTCCTTCCTAAAAGTTGTTTTCTGTGACGAATGCTTACTACACTTACCTTATAAAAGATGAATGCGTTTTGTGCACGTTTGAAATGATTCTATACGAAATAGTCATTAAGCCTTAATTTATCCACAAAATGTGGAGCCAGGGGAATCTAATAAAGTTAGCAATTCACACACTTACAAGGCCACAACTGTAAGTGCACAGTGCATCCTGTTTGTCCTGCTGGAAGGAGGCAGTGCCAAACCAGCTGCTGAAGATATCTGCCCACCTCCTGGGTCTGAGTGATTTTCAGATTATGAACGTGGTGAATAACGGGAGCCAGGCAAGCACTCCTCCTCTGGCATGTGGCACCCCCACAGCCCAGTGTTCCAGAGAAGGGTCCCGTCCTCAGCTACTCTAAGAGCCCTCGGTGGCGTTTCATTACGGGGTGGTAGCGTCTCTGGTAAAGCCTTGTCCCACCTGTAAGTCATATTTAGGAGCCAACTCTTTCACATGAAAGCAAAAAAGAAAGGGGAAACGAAGAGAAAAACTATCTGCTGCCACCCCGCTTGTGATTCCATGCAAATTTCTTTTATTTTGGAATTTATTTGAACTAGACTTTTCTGAGCATTTGAATGGCATTTCGGTATTGTTTCTGGCTGCAAGTTAAAATTTATTCTGGCATCTAGTTGCTGCAATTTTACACAATGGGGATTGGCAATCAGGTGCTCTTAACAGGCTTATCTGGGGCATTTTAATCAAATTTTGAATGTTCAAGCAACCTCAATTTTGCTTGACAAGGCATCGAGGAAAATGTACTCATTTCCACTCTCTAGTTCCCATGACAGTGTCTTTTGTGTAGTGGATGTTACACGGCCATATCCTCAATTTGCCTGTAGGATGCACCCACCACGTCTTGTTAAAAACTAACCAGGCTTGGTTTCACAGCGATCTTCACAAATGTAGGAACCCACGTTGCATCCCTTCTCCCTCCTACAGTAAACTATCTGGTAGTCCGATTATCTTAACTTCCCTTTCATTTTCCAAAAGGAACTCATGGACCTTGCAGTAATCCTCAGCACAGCCGCCAGCTGCCCATTGCTTGGCTGCAGGGTCCTGTCTGACCCGTACTGAGCATTGTGGATGTTCCAAGTCGCAACAGTAAGTCTGTCTTAGGATCTGTCACAGGAGGTGTCACTGCCTTGGGTATCTTGGTCCTTTACATTCTTTTTTTATATATAATTCTTTATTGTTGAAAGTATCACATATGTCCCCTTCCCCCTGCCCCCATTAACCTCCTCCAGCCCGCCCCCATCTCCTG